GCATTCTCTTCCCTGACACCTGAGATTTAGCAATACCACCCATGGGTGACCTGGCAGGTCTCCTGCTGTGACCCTTGGAATCTGGTCCTTTTCCCTTGATCAATGGACCAGACACAGACCCACGGGGAGAAAGAGGCTCAGCATCTCCCGGGCCGTGGCCTCCCCTTCTGCCTCACCTGACGCGGAAGCCTTTTGCGGTAAGGCTTCGGCTTTACAAGAACATGCAACAGACAGAATGGGAACTGGGCTCCGGGCGGCTCGGTGAGGGTTTCGTATTGTTGTCATGTAAAGCAGTTCCAGGAAAAGTGAAGTCACAGCGGCTGCTCCTTCTCACTTCTTAGAAAAGAGCCGATTTCAACAGGGAAGCTGTGCTGCCCTCGCACACGGCCCCGCTGCCTGGCGGCCGAGGCTCCTGAGCTGGCTTTGATTTGGCACCGAAAACTGAAGCCTCCGGATGCGTCCTCATCTGGTGATACCAAGGAGGAAACGTCCTGTTCACAGAAACCGCACAGCTCGGCGGGCGGTTGCGCCCCGCGGCCCACCCCCAGCCCGGGGCCACCAGCCGTTTGGGGGACAGCTGGAAAAGACAGAACCCTCCTTCCTCCACCCAGCACACTCAGCTGCAATGCCCAGGCACCGGTGCCCCCACCAGCACGTTCTAATGGGGGTGGTTACTGCAAGTCGGGTGGGCGACCCGGCAGGACGTGGCTCGGGAGGTTCTCAGCAGCTCGGCCACGAGAGCCGGTTTCAGATGAGGAACCACGGTGGGCGGGCTGCAGGGGAGGGCCACTCTGGGTGAAAACCAGGAGTTCTGTGACCGAGATCTACTCAGTCACATCTCTGGCTGGGTGCAGGGGCGCCTGCCAAGTCGCCTGCCATCCCAGCAACTCGGAGGTCGAGGCGGGAGGACCACAAGGTCGAGGCACTTAGTGAGATCCTGTGTCACAGTAGGAAATAAGAAGAAGCGGGTTGTGGCTCGGTGGTACGGTGCCCCGGGTTGGATCCCAGTACCACACTAACAACACAGACGTGTGCGTCCACACCTACACCTGCATGCGTTTCTGGATGGGAGGTCTAGCTTCTTGGGAGAGCACTTACTTCCCTAAGTGTGCGGCCCTGGCACTGCACCTGATAATGAGATCCCCAAGGAGCCAAAGCAACCCAGTGCTCAGGCAGGGAGACCCGGGAGTCWCGAAGACCAGATGTGACGTGTGTCCTGGTGGGGCTCTGGGAACGCGGAGGCAGGAGGATCGAGAGTTCAAAGCCAGCTTCAGAGACTTRGGTGCTAAGCAACTCAGCGAGACCTGTSTGTCGATAAGAGATATATAGATATAGATATTGAAAGAAAAGGGGCTGGGGTGCGGCTGAGTGGTCAGGGGCCCAGGTTCAATCCCTGGAACCAGAAACAAAATAAAATGTCAGGGAGAAAATCTGAGTGGGCTACATCCTTAAGATTAAAAGCACGTCAACCCTGTCATTAACTGTGATGATGTGCCGTCCTTAATGAGATGTCAGCCAGAGGAAAGCTAGATGCAGAAATATGGAAACTCTGTACTATTTTTGCAATTTTTCTGTAGATCTAGAAGTTTCTTTTTAAAAATGCACACACATGGCTGGGGCTGGGGCTGGGTGGCAGAGCACCTGCCTTGCACAYGTGAGGCACTGGGTGCGATCCTCAGCACCACGTAAAATAATAAAGTCATTAGAACACATGTTGTAAAATCTAAAAATAAATGCTCATATATCTTACAGTCACCTGATGAATGTAAGCCAASACTTATTGGTGCTGGCAGCAACAGTGATTTGGTGCCTACTGTATACTGAGTACTACTATATAAAGGTGACTTACACACACGGTTATTCCTCAGGATAGTGCTGCAAGCTGACAGGGATTTTGTTTTACAAAGGAAACTGAAGTACAGAGAGGTTAGGTAACTTGCTCACACCCACCAAAAGGTTCAGTCTAGATGAAGGCTCGATTCAGATGGACACAGCGATACTGATGGAAGAGCCCACGCTGTGAGCCCCAGCCAGCTGGGCAGCAGCTCCAAGCAGTCAACAAACCCAGGGCAGTAATAAAACGACAGCCAACTCACCGTCTCTCAGAAAACGTCGCTGGCCTGGGCTCAGGGCAGAGCGCTCGCCTCGCAGTGTGAGGAGCTGGGGTTGATCCCCAGCAACACAAAAAATAAAAGTAAAGGTGTGTGTCCATCTAAAGTCTTTAAAAAGAAAAGGTCATATAGTTTAAAAACAGCAGATCCAAACCCTAACAACTGCTGGTGAGGATGAGGCCAGAGGACGCTGGCTCGGTGCTGGGGGGAATGCGGGTGACACCCCGCTTGGAAGAGTCTGGAAGTTTCTCACAAGGTAGCCACTGACTCGCCTTGTGGCCCGGGACTGAGCTCCTGGGTGTCTACCTCCACAAGCAGAGAAACCCGCTCAGCAGCTCCGTTCATGACTGTCCAGGATGGAGTCCAACACCACGTCCCTCCACCCGTGGAYGGACAAACAAGCGGGTACCCCTCGCGCTGCCGAGCCGCAGAGAGACCTGGAGGGGGCCTAACTGCGTGTGGCAGGACAGCGGCCTGAAAACCACTGACCGCGCGGCCCACCAAGGGACAGCCTGGGGAAGGGGACGCGACAGACACGGGAGGAGCCTCGTCGGCCGTGGAGACGGGAGGGACCCAAAGAAGGTACCTGAGGGAACCCAATGCAGACAGGGCCTCGGCCATCAGCAACTGACCAGACCAGTGGCAGGAGCTCGTCTTGGAGAACGCTGCTCTCTCTGCTCAACTGTTCAGCACCCCAGCTGCTTTACAAACAGTTATTGAAACACACGTGGCACACCGAATTTATTAGTGGTAGAAAGTCGACGACCCTGCACACAGCTGGCTCCGTGGCACGCACGCTCCAGACGCCCGCGGGCCTGGCAGGGAGCAGAGCCCCACACGCAGTAGGTCCCGACAGAGTCCTTCCTACCAAAGACGCCCTCTAAGCCCAGGCTGCCCTCGCTGTCCCCCAGGGCGAAGCTYCCGCTTGGTGGAGTCTGTGAGCTGTTCTCGGTCTTGGTTCTTTAGTTTCAGTGAGAAATTCAGACAATATCGCAGCATTTCCAAGTGGAGGAGGACGGAACGACCTTCCGCACCTGAGGGAGACCAGCTAAAACGTCTGCGTTGTGCCCGCAGCAGGAAGAGAGCTGGGCTCYGAGGGCCTTTCAGGGCTGGGCGTGGTCCGTGCAGAGCAGCCGCTGAGCATGCGCCAGGCCCTGGGCTCCCTCCCAGCACTGCAAGGAGACCAAATGCACTGGACTCACACACTGGACACAGAGGTCACTGGACGCGGAGCTGTCAGCGGAGAGACAGGGGCCGCAGCGTCCTCCTCCCTCAGTCTGTTTTCCTGCTCATTACCACACTCTGGTCACATGGGCAATGACTAGATTCAAGTTCTGCACCATAAAAGAGGGGCCAGCAGTCACGAGAAGTGTCCTCACTTGCAGAACTTGGAAATGCAACACGAGATCACCATGTGCTTCAGAGAGAGATTCACACAAAAAAAGGAAAAGGAAAAGGACCCGCAGGTGCTTTTCCTCAGCAGACCCAGGCCTACAGCAGAGGCCAGTGAGGGCAGGAACCRGGCATTTCCAATTCCCGCCCACGGAGTCCACAAAAGCAGCATCCCCAAGAAATTCCTGAGGAGGGYAGAAGCACCGCGTCAAGGTTGTCGGGAAGGTCGCCAGTCAGAGCTGAAATCACGGAACAGCAGCGTTTTTTCAGGACACGGAGGTCACTGGACGGAGGTCACAAGGTCGCCTAAGGAATGCTGCGGTGCAGATCTTCCACCTCCAGTGCCCACATGCTTTCATGGAGGGGATTCTCGGAGAGGTCGGTCATCTTGACGGCCTGAAGGCAGGGCTCGGGGCTGCAGGCCTGCACCACTCCCATCACCATCACATACTTCCCTGGGAGAGAAGAGGCTGGCAGTGAAGTCCACGTTGGAAAGGGGAGGCAGCCCACGGAGACCCGTCCCCCAGACCTGGGGCACCTGCCTCAGGGTGCACAAGGCCTGGGTTCCATTCCCAGCACCACCCACAAGAAAACCACAGGACCCCGAGGAGCAGGTATCGGAGACAACCAGGAAACACTCGTGTACATCACTGAGCTCCACGGTTAACCCGGCGCCACCTCTAGGCTCTCGGCTTCACGGGACGCAGTTGTCAGGCACAGGGGCGTCCTGCTGCGGGAAGGGAAGGACTCACTCCAGGGGGAGTCGGGTCGGACAGACTGCCCCAAGGCAGGGGCAGGAAACCCAGCTTTCCTCCAAGTCTTGCTCTTGACGGATGCCAGAGGGCAGCCGCAGACCTGTGACGGGACTCTGCAGAGCCCCTCCCCAGTGCTAAAAGGAGACTCCAATTCCCCCCGAGGCTGCCAGGGGTTGGGCAGCGTCACAAGCACGCCCCAGGCTGCCCCCCCAAACAGGGCACACATGGGCAATCGGGGGCAGGGCAGCGGCCACTGGGACATCTAATGACATCAGCTGTGCCCTCTTCCACTCCCTGGGGGAGCCAGTCTCCTTGAAAGCAAACCTGGCTGGTCATGAACACACAGAACGCGACGGTGTCAAGAAAACCCCCAAACCCAGCGGGAAGGGCGGGCGCACTGCCACCCCCACCAGCCCCCACCCAGGCCGCCTGCAGGCAGCCCGCCCAGCCACAGGGCCCTGCTCACTGCTGGCAGGCGCTCGGGTCCCGCCTCATCTCCAGACTCCAGCTGGGTCCCGGGTGACAGGACGCTCATTCTAAGACCCTGCAGGATGAGCCAAGAGCCGGCAGAGATGGGACCCTCAGGAACAGGCCTGAAGACGGGAGAGGCCACCGGATCTGCCGGGCAGGTGCCCGCGGCTAGGGGTCGGGCTGAAGGGCAGACCATGGCAAACTCGTGGTGGTCATCCCAGCCGCGCCCTCCGCTTCCCCAGGGGTGACCCTCCCGGGTCGGCTCTCGCCCCTCCCACCTTGGCACCTTCAGTGGCTGCAGCCTGCTAGAAGCCGTGCCACCACAGGGCCTGGGTGGCCATCCAGGTGAGTGTCCCTCAGCCCAGCTGCACACCAAGAGACCCCCAGAGCAGCGAGGGGCCTGCATCCTCCGCTCCTGACCTTGCAGAACGTGCTGAGGGACGAAGCCAGGAGCAACAGCCTGCGCAGGGAGCCTCCAGGCCACCTAAGCAGCCTTCCACAGCCACCAGGCTCACGGGGGACCCTCCCGCCCTCCACTGCCGCCCCACAGGGCCTGTGCACGCCAGTGGAGGGGGCTGACCATCTCCCGCTCCTGCACAGACCCAGGGTGACTTTCTGGTAACCAGAGTCCAGGGTCCAGGGTCCTGAGTCCCACGCGATCCAGGAGGGCGGGTCCCCACACAGAGCTGAGACGCGGGCCCGGGTGCCACCCCCAGAAGCCCTCCGGAGCGCTGGGGCCTGGACCAGCTTTCCCTCCTCTCCGCCCTGCTGCCCCTCCCGAACACCAGACAGACCCGGAGCTGACCGGAGCAGCCCTCAGTGCCCACAGCCGGAGGCTTCTGAGGACACCCCAGAGGCTCGCGGCGGCAGGGCCAGCCCACGGGTGGTGTGTGCTCCTTCCTGGTGTGGGGACCCAGACACCGACTCCGCGATCCCCAGAGCTCCACAGGCAGGTGCCATCAGCACCTCTAAACGTTGAAGGAGGTTTCCCTCCACCACCGCGGCTCAGGCCTACAGCGGTGCACTGTGTTGAGTGGCCCCCGACTTCCCCGCCCCTGCTGCCTGCAGGATCGTGAAGCAGCACTTGGCACTAACTGGCAAGAGGGCATCCAGGCCAGCGGGTGAGCCACTCGGGCTCAGAGGTGSCCAGCTCAGACACTCAGGCACCTACTGGGCGCCAGGCTTATGCCAGGGCTGGGACCAGAACGTGCAGGGTGGGGGTGCAGAGGCCGAGACACCAGGCAGCAGGGACCACATCCAGAGACCGAGGCCACAGGCTGCCAACGTGTTCTGTAAAGGCCAGACGGTAAACCTCTCGGGGCTGGCAGGCTGTCGGTTCCACCAGGCTCCTCGCTCCTTAGTGACGTAGGACAGCGGCCCTGGGCCTTCCCAAGTCACAAGTGTTTCAATAAAACCCCACCGAGGGACACTCTGACATTTGGCTGTCACATACTACTTACAAGCCATGATTCTTTGTGTGTGGGGGTGGATACCAGGAATTGAACTCGTGGGCACTCAACCTCTGAGCCACATCCCAGCCCTATTTTGTATTTTATTTAGAGACTGGGTCTCACTGAGTTGCTTAACAGCTTGCTGTTGCTGAGGCGGGCTTTGAATTCACATCCTCCTGCCTCAGCCTCCCAAGCCACTGGGATGACAGGTCTGTGTTTTGTGCCACTGTGCCCAGCACAGGCCATGATTTTTTTCCAGCCATTTAAAAATGTAAAAACCAAACCAGCATGGTGGCATGCGCCTGCAGGCTTAGCGCTCGGGAGGCTGAGGCGGGAGGGTTCCTCAAGTCCAAGAGTTCAAGACTGGCCTGGGCAAAACAGCAAGAGCCCATCTCAAAAGTAAAAAGACAGGGCTGTTCTGCGGCTCAGTGGCAGAGCACTTGCCACTTGTGAGGCACTGGGTTTGATCCTCAGCACCTCAGACAAAAATAAATAAGGGCATGCTGTCCATCCACAACTATGAAAGTTTTTAAAAAGTAAAAAAAAAGATAAATAAAAATAGAAAACAAAGCTGTAAGTTCACAGGTCCTATGAAAAGAGGCATCACCTGTGGTCTGCCAATCCCGGGCAAGACTAAGGCTGCAGCCAAGAGCACACTGAGTCCACCTTCCACCCCACCACGGGTGTGCGGGAGCTGAGCTAAGGTCATGTCCACCCACTGAATCCACAGAGCAGGAAGGAATGACGAGCTCCTTTTCACAGAGGGTGGAAAAGTCCAGAAAGAGCAAAAGGAATTCAGCCCAACTGTCAGACCCTGAGCAGCGCAGGCACACCACTGCCTCATCCTGCCCCGAGCTAGAAAGCAAGACTGGGCCAGCAGGAAGCGCCGGAGATGGAGAGCCCRCAGCCCGATTTCACAGGGGCAGGAGCCACAGAGAGAGGCCTACTGTGTTCAAACTGCCAACACTGAGACCTCACACACCCCCCACACAAGCCTTCCAAGATCACATGGTAGCTCCACCAGGATCAAGGATCTTCCGGGAAACGTGCTCCCAGGCTGTCTCCCCAGCGGGCCTGGAGACCTGGTCTCCACCGCAGCCGGCACCTTGAACGGCCCCGCGGAGGAGGGTTAGCTGACTTCCCAGGAAAGGAGTGAGATGAGATCTGGGGTGCCCGTGCCTGTCACCTGTAAACAAGTGGTTCTTGGAGCACCCATGTGTCAGGCACTGGGCCAGAGGCTAGGGAGGGGCCGTCAGAACCACAGAGCTCCAGCCTGCCTGATCTCCACGTCGGCCGAGCCAGTGGCATGGCACTTCCTGGGAGCTGATCAGAAATGCACGTTCAGTCCCACCTGGACTTCCTGACACCCTGGGGCAGGGACGGCCCCAAGGTGCGGGGAGTCTGATGCCAGCTCAGGTCTGAACCCCAACATTTGGGAAGGACGCAGGCATTTCCCAGGACAGCATCTCCCAAGGCTTGATGGGGAAGACGTGAAGTCACCGGGAGGAGGCAGCTGGTGACAAATACAGCAACCAGGGGCCCTTCCCAGGGAACTCAGGAGGAGGGCCTGGGTTAAAAATGTGCCTAGCTGCTGCTACTCGCTGGCTGAGCCCAGGACGGCTGCAGGGGAGCTCAGGAGGGCTGCGGGGGAGCTCGGGACGGCTGCAGGGGAGCTCGGGACGGCTGCAGGGGAGCTCAGGACAGCTGCAGGGGAGCCCGGGACGGCTGCGGGGGAGCTCGGGACGGCTGCAGGGGAGCCCGGGAGGGCTGCAGGGGAGCCCAGGACGGCTGCAGGGGAGCCCAGGACGGCTGCAGGGGAGCCCGGGACGGCTGCGGGGGAGCCCGGGAGGGCTGCGGGGGATCCCGGGAGGGCTGCGGGGGAGCCCGGGACGGCTGCAGGGGAGCCCAGGAGGGAGGCAGGGGAGCCCAGGACGGCTGCAGGGGAGCCCGGGAGGGCTGCAGGGGAGCCCAGGACGGCTGCAGGGGAGCTCAGGACGGCTGCAGGGCCGCTCGGGACAGCTGCAGGGCCGCTCCGGGCAGTGCGCTCGCCCAGCACGTGGAAGACCTGGGCTCCGCTCCCAGCACCGCTCCTGGGAGGCTGCGGCCCGAGGCTCGCTGGAGCCCAGGAGTTTGAGGCCAGCCAGACCCCATTTCAGAGAAAACGGGAGAGCTCGGGAGAGGCGGGACCGGGACGGGAAGCCGGGTGACCAGGGACAAGGCCGGCCGCGGGCCTGGGGCTGGGGCCGCCCTCGGCGAGGACGCGGGCGCGAGGTTACCTGGGACGAGGCAGGGCCGCCCGCGCGGCACCCGCTCCAGGCCGCGCACCGAGAAGGCCCCGCTCGGGTCCCGCAGCCGCGCCCCGTCGCCGCCCGCCGCCACCACGGTGCCCTGCATCCACACGGCCGCCAGCTCCAGCGGCCTGCGGCCCGCCGCCCGGGACAGCCGCCAGGCGCCGGGCCCGCCCTCCGCGTCGCGCCGCAGCTGCTCCGCCAGCACCTTGAACGGCGGCGACCGCGGCAGCCGCACGGCCCCCGGGCTGCCGCCCGCGTCCGGAGCCGCCGCCATTCCGCGCCGCGGCCGCTTTCCCGCCAACTTTGATCGACAGCGAGACCTGGCCCGAGGCCACCAATCGGGAGCACGCCGGCGAGGCCGACCAATGGCCGGCCTCGGGAGGCGGGGCCGCGGGCCGGGCCGCCCTCGCGCCAGCAGGAGTGCGCATGCGTCCGCCGAGGAACCGCCCCCAACACGGAGCGAAGGGGAAGGGGGACGCGGAGGCGGCGCGGGGCCGCGCAGCGTGCGGGGCGCCGAGGGGGCCACCTCTACGTGGCCCGGCACAGCTCAGCACTGCGCAGTGGGGAGCCCTGGGGTGCAGGAGTGGCCCGCGCGGCTGTCACGAAGGACAAATGGGAACGTTAAATGTAAGGGGCGCGGATGGGCCCGCTCCCTGACTTGCGCAGTGCACAGAGTGTGCGTGGATCCAGTCCTACAGATACTGTGTGTCCGCTGAAAAACAAGTTCAAACAGAAGTTAGGAGACAGGGCTGGGGAAGGGGACAGGGACAGCCAGTCCTCCGGCTGTCTATCCATCCTGGGATTGAAGGGGAGGTGACCTACCGCTGAAGTACACCCCAGCCCTTTTTTATTTTTTATTTTGAGACARTGTTTCACCGAGTTGCTGAGGCTGACTGGGGATTTGCCATCCTCCTTCCTGCCTGGGCTTCCCAGGTTGCTGGGATTACAGGTTTATGCCATTGCACCGCACTATTTTTGTTACGTTTTTATTTTATTACATCTTAATAAAAGTTAATAAGTATATTACCACATTTTTTTTCACAAATGCACATTCATTGCAGGACACTTAAGAACAGGAAAATCTAAAATAAGGAAAAAATTTTTTAAAAAACACTCAGAAAATAAGTAAAAGGTGTAAAAGCACTAGTGTAAAAACCTCTAAATAATCTAAAAAGCMCTAAGAAATGATTAACTTCTGGGCATATTAATTTACAAGTTTTAAAATATACCTGTGAGCTGTGCATGGCTGGTGGTTGCCCTCGGTCCAGGGTTTCTCAACCTGACCCTGTTGACATTTTGGGGTGGACAGTCTTTTGTGGGAGGGGGCTGTATGTCCCGGGTTTCAGGARCTGCCTGTGGGTCACCGCACATGGAAGCCTCGTGGATAGACATCGAGTGTCTGGGAATGACCAGTGGACATTTCCTTTGACCAATTGCCCAGTGACCAGGTGGATCTCTATCCTGCTCTGCTGGGGCCCACACAGCACCTGAGTCGCTGGTGCCCTGCCAAGATGTCAATCAACCTGCTGACTGCAATTCATCAAAGACATCCCACAGCAAGACTTGGGCCTGGAAGCCTCATCCCTGCCTTTGACGGACTCCTAGAAGTAAACCACCAGAGGAGCCACTGGCCGTTGTCCAGTTGCAGCTCCGTGGGGACTAGAGGTATCAGGGGCTGCTTTTCTGCAAACGTATTTCTGAGTGTTTGTGCTTTGTTATTTACTCACTATTTGAGACGGTCAGTTCTAGGGTGGCTTGGACCCTCCAGGGCAGGAAGAAGAACCCCTTCATGAGATGCTGCCTGTCTTCCACCCAGGAGACGCCGGGTGCACCTCCAGACGTGGTGACGGTCCACCTTCAGACACTGCTGCTGCCCTGGGGAGCAGAACTGGCCCACTGAGAACCACGGCCCTAAGCCATTCACTTGCCTCTGTCTTCACGGTACATATTTGAGTCTGTCTTCGTCACCAGCACCCCAGAGGTCTCAAATTCAGATGCCCACAGTGGCCAGGCAGTAGCCCTGGTGTGGCTGTGACAAACTGGCCTTCAGATGGCTTCCTGGGTCGATCACACCCAGCTGGTTGTTACCCCCCGGGAAGGCGGGCCCAGCCCTGCAGATCCGATTTTGCAAGACCTTTTAATGTATACTCTCCGCCTCTAAAAATKTCGGCAGTGAATTCAATTCTAAAACAGAAACAGAGCGTGTGCCCCTGAAAGACCCGTGGGAGCTCTTTCCCGGGCTCCAGGGCAGCTCTGTGTCGCCAAAGCCAGACACCTCCCACGAAAGACCACCAGCTCCAAGAGCTGCAGCATCTGTCTCAAATCACTGTCATGAGCAGCCTCCCTCCATGGGGACCCGCCCCCCACTGGGCCTCTGGAGAGGGTTCCTGCTTCCTGCTCCAACCTCGCGGCTTGGCTTCCTGGGCTGCCYGCTGACCGGCTCCCAGGCCGCTCAGCCCCAAACATGCCCAGACTGCCAGGGACAAAGGGGGACCCTGCGGCCCTGAGAGAGGGGGCTGCCCAGTGACCTCCGTAACAGCGTGGCTGCCGAGGGTCACCGCAGGCCTCAGGTGACTGACAACAGGCTCCTATGGAAGGGGGAGTTAAAGAGGCCTGAGTCCCCACAGACTCTTCTTGTTCCTCTCACCGTCTCTGTTTTGTTTTGTTATTTTTCCCCCAGTGTCATTTCACGTCAGGGGCAGAAACTGCCCCCAAGCCCTGCACCCGTGGGCCCCGCAGAGCCAGCATGGGGACATGCATGTGCAGGACAGGGCCTGATGGGAACTGCTGGGCGCGCTCTTCCTGGAGTGCCTCCTTCTCCTCCTGCTTTGCCGCTGCTCCTGCGAGTTAACTGGACCCACAGAGCTCCTGGAGTGGTCACTAAGTGCACCCCACACCCCAGAGTCGGCCTCTGCCCTCGAACCCCGGACACAGGTGCTTTCCTGGAGACGTGGCCAGGTGAGGTGCTGCAGCCTCATGAGCCCTGAGTCGCGCAGCTGGGAAGACGTCAGCCAGGGCCACTCTTCCCCGGGAACAAAGGGCCCTCTAGCGCCTTTCAATGCCCGGGCCTCCGGGTGAGGCCTGGGGGGGGTCCACTCATTGTCCTGGGTCATCCCCAGGGAAGGAAAGTTTTTGTTTTCAARTGCAGGCCTGTGAGTCAAAAGAATCTCGACCTTCAGCTAATGAACTGCCAGCCCGGCTCTGTGCGGGGCCACGGGATACGCAGTGACTTACTCTGAAATGCAAGAAAAAATTAGGAGGATGAGTAGGGGGACCGGCAGACAGACCTGAAGGAAGGCAGGTCTGCCCTCGTGGACTCCGTGTGGCGGGAGTTGGCTTCAGTGCCCCGAAGTCTGAGGAGAACGTGTTTCCAGGGCACTCCACAGCGGCCATGAACCTCTGGGCACACGCCTGTCACCCCACYGACCCGGGAGGCTGAGGCAGGAGGATCGCAAGTTCAAGGACAGCCTCTGCAACGTGGCAAGGCCCTGTMTCAAACTAAAACTGGAGAAGGGCTGGGGTGTGGCTCCATGGTAAAGCACCCCAATCCTCAGTACTGAAAAAGAAAACAAGAAAAAATGGAAGTGTACCCCCAAACCCAGCAGAACCTCAGCCCCCTGAGGAGAGGCATCATCCAAGTGGCAGCAGGCTGCATCGCGGACGGTGACCAGTGGAAAATGCCATTTCCACTCCAGGGAGCTCGACTTAGGAGACCCTAGAAGGTCCAGCAGAGCCGCTTGGTCCCCAGCTCSGCCCTCTTGGGAACTTCTGGAGGCATGGCCTAGTGGGAGGCTTTGGGAGGTGTGTGTTTGCAGGGGATTGCAGGACCCCAGACTCTTCCTCTTTTTCTCCCTTTTGCTGCCCAGCCAAGGTGCAGCCTCACGTCCCTCCGTGAGCTGCCTCCACAGTCCCGAAACGAGGGGCCAACGGCGAACTGAAACCTTCAAAACTATGAGTCAAAGGAAACTTTTTCTCTTTATAAACTGATTATTCTAGGCATTTGTTACAGTAATGGAAGGGCCGTCCACACCACACTTCATTTTAAGAAGTGTCAAACTGAAAATCTGAAGTATTCAGGAATTACTAGACCCCAAATCTATCTCAAGAAACCAAGGCCTCAGAGAGGTTCAGTAACTCGCCCAAGACCACACAGCCAGTAAGAGGTTGACTCAAAATCAGCCTGTCTCCAAAGCCTGAGTGCTTTCCAGGGCAACCCGTGAGAACATGGGTTCACTATGACCTCCAGAGAGTGGCCTCTGACGACCTGGAAGCGCTGGCCGGCTGCTTTGAAGAACACATTCCCAACTGGGGCCGGATCTCTGTCCCCTAAGTGGCGTGAGCTGGTTCACGGGAAGATGCTCCAGGGCAGAAGCCAGAGCCCAGGCCAGGACAGAGAACCCGGGACGGACCCCTTTTCTCCAGACGGCCCCGATTCTGTGAGAGTGGAACCATTTCAGAAAACCCAGGCTGAGCCCGGCTTCRTGGGTCTGCCCAGAAGGAAGAGGGCCTTCGGGGGAGGCTGCCCGGGGAGGAGGAAAGTGGGCCCGGGGACAGCAGGGGCCTGCTGTGACGGGGTGGCCAGGAGGCAGGGGGAGCCAATGACCACCCGCCAGAGCCCCGGGCACTTCCTCCAAACCAGGGGCGCTCTGCGGGGGTTGGGGGGGTGGCCAGTGAGGCCAAGAGGCAGGAAGGACAGAGTGGAGAGCCCGCGGGCCACGCAGGGGCACTGGGTTCTGCTCTAAGTGCAACAGGAGTGGACATCGTCTGACGGCCTGGGTGGGTGGGCGGTGGGCAGGGCCCTGGCTGCTGCGTGGGCAAGGGCCTGGGCAGCCGCAGTGACCAAGAGGCCCGAGCCTGGAGCAGGGTGGCGGCGGGCAGTGGGGGGGTGGCGAGGTCCAGTCCTCCGCTGCGGCCTGATCAGGGGTGTCCAGAGGAGAATCGAGGGCGGGGCCAGTGCGACTCTGAGCTCACGGGTGCCCTGGACAGAGACGAGGGCGGCCGCCAAGGGCACTGAGCAGGATCAGCCCTGCCTGCTCCCAGGGCCCCACCACCCGAGGAGGCCGGCCTCGCTCTGGCCCCCTCTGGCCACTCCTGACCCCTCACCGTCCCCGGGGCCCCAGGACACCGACACTCGGTTCCAGCTCTCAGCAAACCTGCCTCCTGTACTATTCCCCTTCAGAGCCAGTCTCCACCTGCATCCCCCTGTGCACAAGCCCCGTCCTCGCAGGGGGCCRCCTGCTGGCCTGCCTCTCCCCCCACTGCCCTCCGTTCCCA